ACGTCTTTCGATGTGAAATGTTCATCCCATATTAGATTCGTTTTCCCGATAACTATTAACGATTGTAACCCATAACTGTAGAGCACATGTTGTGTTTTATTTTAATGCATTATTTCAGTATAAAAATTACGGTTATACAGTATTTCAATTAGGCAATTTAGAGACATTTTTATCGTAAGTTTTCTTCACGATAACACGTCATAGCTACTATTTAGTAAATAATATTTTAATATATACCTACTATATCAAACATTTTTTTATAGAATAAATTTAAAAACTTATGTTTAGTCTTTTCTATGATGCAAAAAACACTGAACACTTGATAACAATATTTAATAAACCTAAGAAGTATTGTATTTTAATCACCTCTTTGCCAATTGTGCAGTGTATGAACTATATATTCAAGCAATTTATTACTATCAGTTGACCTATCGGTAAATCATAATCTCTCATGGGTATACATATTTTTTAAATTCATATTATTCAGAAATCACAAGGTTTTACAAAATATTGTAGATATATAGTTTATATATTAAAAAAGTTATTCCACAATTAAAAACTAATGAAATATAATATGCTTTGTAATGTTTAGTATAATCACATAATAAATTGTATATACATACATCATGCATATATATAAACAATACACACACACTCACACACGTTTGCACGTATTATTTTTAACATGTATTTGCAAACACTAAATAATGTTTGTCTGAAAGAAAAAATATAATACACATTTATTATCTCGGATAATTATAATTGTACCTCGTTATAATGAAATACTCGTATTATTGTCATTCGTCAGTTGTAAGGCCGTCTACAAACGAGAGAATGCTCTTAAGTTCTATGTAATACATGACATGTACTCGACGGATCGTGTAGAACTCGCGCTCACTGGTCGTGCAATATGAATTATACTTCACCAAAAACTTTTCAAAGTACGTACTAACAACCCTACACGTCTTTGGCTGGCTCCATTCTAGTTTTTACTAATTGAGTATAACTAAACGACTTTAGTTAGGCTTACAGATAATATTTTTTTAAGAACAAACAATGTTAAGAAAAAAAAAACAGTGATTAAAATTTAAAATTGATAAGCTACAATAAACAAACATTCATTAAAATTGGTAAAACTAATGGATGAAAATAATATAATATTTGTGTAAAAGTAAAACAAATTTGATTATGAAAAATACTAATCAATGAAATAAATTTTATTTCGTAAATAAAAATGCAATAATTTTTCATAATTTATTTTGTTTGGCTTTATTTTTATAAGTCTCAACTTATTATTATATTTTATCGATTCATATGGGTAGTGACAAACTTAAAAAATTTGTATTTAATGATATTTATGAATTTTAAATTCGGTATAGATTTAACAACAAGAATAAATTATTCCTTATATAATTTAACCATCAATCAATAATTGAGATTTTAGCCCAAACACGTGGATGTATTTGGTGAAGTAATATTATTATTTGTGAAAAGGATTGATTACACCATGGTTACCGGTGTAATATTTTTATACGATTAGTTTTTTCAGGTAAAATATTTTAATTTAAATGGCAAAATATATTACCCAGTGGACACGAATTTAATATTATACGTGTAATATTTTGAACACATGATAGATCGTAGTAATAATATGATGCCGCTGAACAGTAGCGATATCGTTATTATTTGCTTATTTTATTTCACGTTGAAAACTTGAGTAAGTGCAAGTCCTACTATTATATTATTATAATAATAGCGATTGATTCTTCGCAAATTATTACTTTTATAGTTATCATGGTCTGTTTATCAATCGAAATCTTTCCCCAAGGACCTAATACACACAAATATAATATATAATGTCACGTTAATTTCACAACTCAACTATAAGTACATAGTTATAGCTGGTGAGATTATATATAATAATTTTATTCAACCATCATTTACAATTTTGTAACGTAATATTATTTAAATCATCTTGTATTGTAACCTAACGCGTGTGACAGCGTAATCATTATTTTTTACGTACATTATGTATCTATATTATATTAAATAAAAATATAATTTTCTCTATATATATATATATATATATATATGCGCGACTATGCGAGTGTACGTGGTATAAGTAGCTTAACTTCTCCTCTTCATCTTTCGCGACATTCGAGATGAATGACTCGAGTGTAATTTATTTTTCCGCAAAAGCCGACAAATTGCCGTATAGCTAATGACGACGGCGACGGTGTACTGCTCGATAAGTCGAAAATTGATCATTGGCAATAAATTTTACTTACTCCGCGTATAATATATAAGTGATCGCGGGTGCACCAACAATATCGCCCCATGTTTCGTCCCATTAAACACGAACAAACATCTACAACAACTCGTTTAACGGTGTGAATGCGTGTGTGTATGTTGGGCACGTGTGTGTGTGAAATGGCGCATGTATTGTGTACATAATAGAGTCTCTTCTCGTGGACTTTACCTTTGTGGGGATGTATTTGTCCGCACCATAACAAGTACCACCTCAATGTAATATGTATAAGCATATAAGTTTCACAAACTCACCACTATATATTTAGCAGCCAAGGAGCGACGTGTATAGTGAATCTACCATAATAAAATACGCAATTTATTTTCCTTGAAAACGAATCCGGTCTGCGTATAACGAAATGAAAGTATTTCCGTTGTCGATATTTTTCAACTATATGATAACTCATAAACAATATTTTGTTAAGTATTTCGTCGCACAAACTATTAATTCGTTTTAAATACCGTGTATTCGACCGATCAAAGTGTTTGCGAATACATTTTAAATTATGATTAATATCACGGAGTCGTTATGAAGTCATTTCATCGTAACTTGAAATGCAATAAAACAGCATTTGGTTAAAAGATTTAGTGTTTATTTTTCTGAATACTATTTTTTATTCAAACAGTTCAAATTATATTATGTAATATATCAAATGACAAGTAAAAATCTTGATAATTTTACTTTCACGTTGATAACAACCAAAAAACAATTCAGTCATCTTTTAAAATATACAGATTTTAAAACTATTAGTATAAAAACAATGTTGCTCGGAAAACATATGTTATATAAAGAAAGCAATCAAATATTAATATTGCTCCAGAAATATCAGGGTTTATGACTGTAGTACAACTTTAATGATTCTATATATCTTGCTAAAACACACATATACTAGCATAAGTGCAATTAGGGGGAGGTACTTAGCACCCCCAATTTTAAAATTATTACCCTAAATTTTTTCATGTCAATTTAAATTTTAATAGTCGGAATGTTTAAAAAAACAGAGTTTTTATTTTATTATTTCATGTAATCGTGTGATGAAGTATTTGTGTATACTGCATACAGCCGATAATAAAACAACTTTTAATACTTCTTATAAAAATATTAAATCAAAGTGAAAAATTTAAATTAAGATTATTTCATGTTAACGTAGCGGTAGCGATAACACCTACTTGAACGTCGTTCAACGAAAACAGCGCTTGGTGTATTTTTAGAGAGTTAAAACCCAATGTACTATACTATTAATATAGTTTTATTATTAACAATGATAATAAATAATTACTTAACAAACACAATTAATATGAATGAAGTGATACATATTTTTCTTAAAACTGAAAAGAGAATAATATTAAAAGTGCTTCAGCACCCTCAGTTTTTTCATTTAAATTTGCACCACCATACTCACGGATGCGCACTTTGGTAGCTTCTCTATACAAACATATTGAGTTGGTTCCTTGTTCACTGTTTGTATAATAATGACTTGAACACGTACATTCAATTTGGAATATTATTATAATAATATATCTAAAATAAGCGGATTATCTTGAATAGTTTATTTCCTTTAATATCATATTATTACGTTTTAAAACCCTTAGAAATTAACGTTATTGATAATTTAATTTTTAATGAAAATCTTTCCAATCTGTTATCACTTATTTTTCGTTTTATTCAATGTTCGACCAAATTTGCGATATTTTTCATTCTTGTATAGATAAAAATTAAAATTGAAATAAGTTATTTTTTTTTTCAAAAAAAACGTGAGCGTCAAAACCTCAATAATTACAATAATTAATTAATGCGCATACTAGTTACATTTGTTTCATGTGCAATCAAGTCTCCACGCATAAGATTTATAATGTCTTGTTCTGACGCACACAGACGTTCTGCGAGTATACCAAAATATCGATAACATATAATATTGAACTTACTTATACACAACAAAACCAGACATCAGCAGCACGCACGAAATCAAAGGATATATTTTTAAGTACACCAAAAAATATATAAAAAAATATTTTTAAGAACATATACTATAGTGAATGTATTAATAATAACAAAACATGAACAATTCATTGATCCATTGACCGAACCTACAAGTTATAACGTTGATATTTAGGTACATATTATTAAATATACATGTAACATCCCCTCGACTATCGCCACTTGTATGTACTTATACATTATAGGAAGAAAATAACGTAATATTTTAAGCATTTTATTTCTATGTGTACACATTTTACAGCGTGGGTTGCTGCTTTTTTCCAACATTTTTCTTCGCGTATATTCACACACATACACATAAATGAACTATAAGTTCTACATATTTCACTTATAGTTACTCAGACACTCGAAATGAATATTTGAATATATTTAATATTTAATTGTATGCAATACAAGTTACAACACCGCAATGTAACGTAGTACAAAATTTGAGCAGATCAATAAAAAAATTTAAAAGTGTTATTTTATTTTAGTATATTTTTTTTATTAGATAAGAGTATAATATAGTATATTATAAAATAGTATAAATAGATACTATAAATAATTAAATTGTACTTATGCAATTATACTACATCGCATACAATTGTATTATTACTGTAAGATATATTTTAATAACTGTAAATTTCGACGATTATGTAAAAAATATTTTTTATAATATAAAAAATGTATTGTAACATTTTAAATTTGTTTCCAGTTCAATTGGCACGTCGTACCAGACAGAGAAAAAAAGCGTCACAAGAATGCTGCGGAACCAGTATGGTCACCAACAATGGCAGGTGGCCTGTTTGCCATCGACAAAAAGTTCTTTGAGCGACTCGGTACTTATGATAGTGGTTTCGACATATGGGGAGGTGAAAACTTAGAGCTATCATTCAAGGTATGTTTAACGAAAATTATATTTAGTATGGCGGGTACTCTAGTATGATCTTCACCATACAGACGACTTTAGGATTATGAAAACTAATTAGAATAGCATAATCTATTACCTACATAATTTATTATTTCTGAACTATTCCTAGAGACACGCGTGTATTTAAATTTCAATTTAACACACAAAATGTTTATGCAACAGTGTCGTTTAATTAACAATCCATTTTCCTTTTATTTTATTTCTATGGAAAGATAAAAAATGGCACTAAGCAAAAATACTAGGTGAGGAGGTACAAAAAATAATAATATTTTAGAAATAGGATAGTAAATCGAAATACTGGCATTGAAAGAACAACGTATTCAAATATAGGTTCACTCATGAACCATTTATTTACTTTCGCCACCTCACATCCTCTTTTCCTTCTATGATTTTATCTTCTCAAAAAACACCAGAAGAAAATTTCGCCCTCCCCTTCCCTAAATTTATCCTTTGAACTGAAGTATTTCAATATGACTGTATAATCGTGCTCAAGATACGCGTACACGAAAACAATGTAAGAATATTTTGCTACAATTTATGTTTTCAGAATATTTTGAAATGTTGTGACAAGTAAAATAAAATATTTTAATTTTCTTTTTTACAATTAATTTATGTTTTAAAAATATTATTTTGCTATATGGATAATTTGTACAATTTGTGATTAATCGTCAAACTATTTTATTGCAAAACTATGGTACTCATTATTAAGCGATTTTATGGTATTTTTATGTGACGCAGACGTGGATGTGCGGTGGTACGTTGGAGATAGTGCCATGTTCACATGTCGGTCATATATTCAGAAAAAGATCGCCTTACAAGTGGCGGACGGGTGTCAACGTTTTGAAAAAGAACTCCATCCGTCTAGCCGAAGTGTGGATGGATGATTACGCTAAGTACTATTACGAACGGATTGGCAATGATCTGGTAAGAAATTTAGCAAATATAAAAATTTTTTTAGTTTAACTCGTAATCATTATGAAATTTCGTACCTTTTCTTCTGGAAATCGTTTTATTTCATTATCGACAATTTTCGATAACTATATACCTATTTATATTGTTGACGGTAATGCATTTACGGTGTATAAAGGTCATTAAAATAATATCATATCAAAAATCTGGTGAAAATGGAATTTAAATTTTATGAAGTCTCTATCAATTTAGTATTCTAATGTTTAGATAGTAGTCTTCAGTGCTGACAAAATAATTTAACTTTAAAACTAAAAATGTTCATGCAAAAAATGAATTCAAAGTATTACATTTTAAAGAAATATTTTGTTATAAACAGGTAATAATTTATATATAATTAATTATAATAAAAAAAAAAGTTTAATATATGCACTCTATTTTATTGATCATTTTGTATTTTTGAGTTAAAAATGATTAAAATAATCAAATTTAATTAACACAACTCTCCACTTAAGAGCAGCATACTTGTATTCAAAAATACATAGAATATTAAAAAAAAAATTAAAAAAAACGTACAAAAACACTTAAAGTTGCTATACAAAGTTTTTATATGAACTGATATATACAATATAACATAAAAATCACAGAACTCAGACGTTTGAAGTAATTGCTATTAATTTATTACCTAGCTCTATAGCTAGATATATCTTGATATATAAAGTTTACATCAAATAATATATTTTAGTTGGTTTCTGTGGTTATTACTCAACGTCAAAATAAAGTCGTTGTGCCATGAATATTATTGAAAGATATATAAAATTGAATTTTTCAAATAACAATATCCTATTATTATTCCCTGGTCGATAAATGGTCTTTGTCATAATTTAGTACATCATTGATTTGACGTAGCGTTAGTCGATTACAATAATATTATTTTTGTTGTTGAATTAAAAAAATCTGCCTGAGAGATATTCACTCGCCGTGCGCTTTAACTTTGAATAAATCAACAACACTTAATTTATTCATCACTATTTAAAGCATAAATATATTAATTGGCTATACATTAAATTATATTCGAGAAAAACAATATAAATAAACATTAAAATACTCGTACAACTTCTTCGTCTTTTAAACGATTTTTACAACCACAGCCGTGTAGTTTGATTTCGAATAATTGAATAACCTTGTTTAATAAAGCGAACACGCTAAAACTGTTATTTACACGTATTATTAATTTTAAATCGACTTTGGAAATAAATACGTTCAATCAACTAATAATTATTGTACTATACTTATTCCAAATGAATATATTTTACTATTTTTGTATTATATAAAATACATGTTTTTATTTAACACAGGGTGATTACGGTGACATAACTTCTCGCAAAGAACTTAGAAGAAAATTGAAGTGCAAGTCATTCAAATGGTATTTGGAAAACATATATCCAGAACTTTTCATACCAGGCGATGCTGTAGCGTCTGGAGAGGTAAAAAAACAAACATCGTGTTCAAGACTGAGGTTATACTTAGGTCACAGTCATCATCTCTCATGCACACTTAAAAGTTTTTAGGGAAATAAGTTTATCTTACGAATTTCTTAGATCCCAGTTATATTTTCTTATTTTCTTTGATTGGAAAATACTATTTCATATGTGTTTTATTTTATTGACCCACAGAAAACAATTACTGTCCGACTGTTTTCTAAGTAGATTTTTTTTCATCAGATAAAACATTTTCAAACTTTTATTCTAACTAAATTTATTTTTATAAACTTCGTGTTTATTTAACATAACAAATATTGAAAATACATAAACGAAATTATATAATAATTACAAATAATTCAAACCCATCACAATATACTTTATATACCAAATATAGACACATAAATAACAATATTTTTCATCCTTCAGTAAGTAAACCGTTTTCAAATATCGAATTACTTATATCTGACTTTCATTTTTATTAAACGTTTTTATGTTTTACATACCTAATCGTGTATAACGTAACAAACAAAACATAAAACGAATCCCTGCAGACCATATCGAATGTTGTACAAATATTTTGAAACAAATTGATGCAATTAAATTGTTTTAAATGAAAATATTCACTTTTTAAATAAACGTTGAAAATATTAATAAATAAATTACTTCAGCTACTTTAAATAATTACCGACTTAATAGAATAAATGATTGTAGTAAATCATTAATCTGCAGTAAAATAACATTTGTTTAACCAACTACAACGATTAAATATGATTATTATTAGTAAACTAAAAAGTAAAAAACATAATACTAATAATTATTCCTATGCGATTATTAATTCGACATGTTTATTTTAAACATATGTTTCGTAAATTCAATCAAATTATTTAAAAATTGTACAACAACAACTATTTTCTAGGTAGTGAAATATCTCGCTATTATTTAACATCATTGATACACGTCTGGTATAATATAATATAATCTATATTAATTGTATGTAATATTTTAAATGTATTGTATTTAAATTTGTGTATTGGGAATCAGGTGCGCAATTTAGGGTACGGCAACAAAACTTGTCTGGACTCACCGGCCAGAAAGACAGACCTCAACAAACCGGCCGGACTATATCCCTGTCACAAAATGGGTGGCAATCAGGTGGGAATATTATCTCATTTTTACGGCGGAGGATTGTTTTGCAATTTTGCATACATGACTGCCGAGGTCAAGCCGGTACAATACGAATCAACACCTCCTGTCGTAAAGTTTTCCTGTCTTTTGCGCGTCCTATTTACACTTTCGTTTCGGAGTGATGACAATCCGTTTTTGTTTTTAACGGAATAAACGTTAGGTGAATCCTGTGCACTGTGCATGTGTAGTAAAGATTTTTTCAGTATAAACACACAAATTATACCTTATATGTATCATGAATTATGATGAGTAATGACTTTAACCTATAACTATATAACCAAACTCATGTACACTTACAATACACGACATTCGCGCTTGGTTCGAACGTAAAATTACGCGTTCTTCCATTTCTATTTTGCTTGTATTCATATTATTTTGTTTTGTTTTATTTTTTAACCCCACATTTTAGATAAAAAACATTGTGTCGAATATGTGCGTAGACTCGAAAGGCGATGCCAACAAGCCCGTCAATTTGTGGCAGTGCCACCAACAAGGTGGCAATCAGGTAAAAAAAATCACATACTCACGGTATATAAAAAATAAATACCGATTAGATCGATTAACGATTTGTTATGCGTATAGTCTGCATATATATTTGCTAAAACATTATCGCATAACATCAGCTGTTGGTGCTGGTAATTCGAAAAATTAAAATAAGCTTCAATTTTGAGAGCAAAAAATTAAATCCTATCACACAGCAATGTTTGCGCTAGTGTGCAGTGCATTTTATAATAATAATATCTAAAAATGTTTTCGGATTAAACTCGCGCGCTATTTCTACTCTCGTTATAATTTGGTATCAAAACCCATCGATCCATTTGCTAGTATGTTGTATATATGCCTATATAAATATATACATTGCCACATACTTTCCACGGTTTAAGATTGAAGCTAACGCATACAGGATATTATTTTACATTGTTTTTTGACTTAAGAAAGATTAAAAGTTATATGAAACCAAAATTATTGGTATAGTAGATTTAAATAGGCTCATATTAGTTATATATATATTTTAAAATGAAAATTTTAACTTTTTAATTTTATTTTTGAAGCAAAATATTTTATTTATGTATTTATTTATTTTTTTTTTTTTATATTTTCCAACTTAATGATGTGTTATGAAAAGTTGTGGTAATCAACAATTGGAGTAAATATTAAATGGACAATGTCTTCACTTAAAATGAATAATGTGCATGACGTTCTACATCAAAATAAAAAATAGAGAACATTAATTAACGTTAATAAATAAATATATGTTTATATTAACTTTAATGATTAAAAACAGAAAAAAAATGAGTGCTTTGTGGTTTTTATTAACTAAAACATATATGTAGATAAATATTCTAGAAAAAATTCAACTGATAAAGAGTTCTTGTTTTAAACAAAATTATATCTTGTATGCATTCGCTGTCGTTTTATTCACATTTTTAAATTTTGTGATGTTATTGTTTGATTTTCTATTTTTTTTTTTTTATTTTACTCTATCCGCTCGTACATCCAACCTGTCCCAAACGCAATATCGCATTACGTACTGTCACTATAGTTGTAAGAGCATTTCAAAAATCGTTGGACTTTTAATGAAAGAGGGTGGCAATCGCGCCATTTAACGATGACGTAATGAAAACATACTCTTAGATGGTAATATTTTTTTATGTTCATGCACGACAATCAGTGATCGTAGAATGATTTCAATATATTCATTGTAGTTTGTACTATCGGCCATTTCTATGGAAGGTACAGATGTAAGATGATATTAAATATTTATAGATAATATTTTAAGAATATAATGCTATCTTATTTCAATATACAGCTAAATATTTACTTCCAAATTCGTTTTTTACTCAAAATCTGACTATCCTCTCGTATAAAAACTTTTTACAAATGATAATCAACTTTTTTTGTTGTAAATTATTTGGTACCTACATGGTTTTTTTTTATATATTAAATTTAAATAAAAATTCAAACGAGTAGTTTCCTAATAATGTCGTGTAATTTTGTGTAATTAATATTAATCGAATAACATTTTATAATTTATGAATATTGTCTAAATATAATCAATACTAAATACAAAATTACATCATTTACATCTAGTTCATAATATTATAGAACTATTTTTAAGGAATATTATTGTAAATACTAATATACAATTAAATATCTCAGAAATGACTAGTTCAAATTTTAATTTAGATTATATACGTATCAACATTATAAAAAATTTTATCCGCATAATTTTTAGTAAAAAAGGTTAGTTCTTGTTTGAAAATAATAAATTTGTATTTTTAACTCATTAAATGGTATAAAAAGTCCATATAGGTACTTTTAAATATTGTATTAAACGTACTTAAAATTTCTAAAAATCAGAATTTATATTAACAACTGAAAAAAAAATTAAGTTGAGAACGCTGATGAATTATTTTGTACCATTACAAGCACAGCATATCGTCGATAGGTGCGCGAAAACTAATACTTATTTTTCAAGTTCTAACAAAAACCACATGATTTAAAATGACACAACGATAATAATTAATACCTACAATTTCTTCGTACTCGAATTAGTGTTATAATTCCTACTTCGTATATAGTAAAAAATGGTAGTTTTTTGTAACGCATTTAATAAACTGCACTGCACGAGCGCGTTATGCATGCGATCTGACATTGTTCGATTAAATCATGGTTCTTACAAAATTAATGTTCTAAAAATAAAAATACAGTACCTAATTTTAAAAGCTATTATAATATTTGACTAATACACAAATGCATGCTTGTTCCTCATAATAATATTACCATCTTCCTCCTGTGTAGGTACCTACTTTGTATTTAACTTCATACTAACGTACACACGTGAAAATAATGTATATTATATATATTTATATAATATTGACGCGTGTATGTATATCATAAATATATGATACGTAAGTACGAGTAATTTTATTTGTCTGAAAATATTTTTCCCTGGATGTTGGTTTTACCGTGCTCGGCTGACCTTTTCAAATAATGTCATCACCGCCTCACGCGCAACTTGACTGATTATACTAATTTTTTTGTTTTATGCTAAATACCTTTAGTACTGGATGCTAAGTAAGATCGGCGAGATCAGGAGGGACGAGTCGTGCTTGGACTACGCTGGTAGTGACGTAATCTTATATCCATGCCATGGGTCTAAGGGCAACCAATATTGGAACTACAATCATAAAGTGAGTATTAATGAACAATTTTATAAATACAGCATACATTATAGCATACTACAATACCCATGAATTTAATTATACTTTGAATATTATTTTATATATTATATTAGTATCAGAAAAAAATTGTTTCTTTTATCATTTTTGATGACCTATATGTTACGGCTTGTTTACGGACTAAATTTTGTTTAATTTAATCGATAATATGCCCACATTTTCTTGATGAGTATTAAAATTCAGTGAAATTTTTTATTTATGGTCCCTTAACGGATTGATAATTATTTGATCGTGTGAAAAAAAAAAAAAGGAGCAGGTTTAAAATAGGTGAATATACAAACATTAGTAAGAAAAAAAATAATAGTAATAATAAAAGCTGAGAATTGATCAAACAGCTATAGCATTATTTTTACCAGTAGTTCTATAAACTTATAAATAACAGTTTTTTTTTGTTTTGGGCGGGGATGTATAATATCAATATGCACTACTTTGTTGTATTTGTACCAATATTTGTTTTTATTCATACAAGCATAATTTATTTTTATCTTTGTTGAAAACGAAAGTATTCAAAGAATAAAGGAATTGACTTTTTATTCATACAAAAAAAAAAAATGAAATACAAAGTTATTTTAAAAGACTAGTACATGTTTGACAGTAGATAGTAATAACGTGATTTAAATAATACAAATATTTAGATGAAACGGTGTTAATACGATTCTTAGAAATTGCTAAGGTTTGCATTAAATTTAATTAAGCGTTTTAAAGTTAAGGGCAAAAAAATGTCAAATTGATTTTTCAATTCTTAATTTCTCTTGTTTCTCTAATATAAAGTTCATAAAAATTTAATAGATTAAATTATCTATACTCTATTTAAAAATTTTAAATTTCACTGTTAAAATGTTTCAATCATGTATTTTTTTGGACATTTTTGTAGACTAAACAACTACGACACGGTAGTAGTAGAAAGTGTCTGGCCATTAATAGCACTAAAGACAAGCTGCTCATGGAAGAATGTGACTTAATGCTGCCCAGGCAAATGTGGCAATTTGAAAACTATAACGCGACGTTGGCCACCGAGGACAGTCACGTGAGGCATTAAAGACTTCTAACGAACAAATTACATTAAAATTACTTCCTATATTATTATTATTTTGTTTTTGATTAATTTTTTTTTTTTTTATTTTGATCAAAATTTTTCCCATTACAAAACTTCCACGCTTCGTCGATGGTCGTTTTGTCTTACAATTATTATTAACATGTATACCTTTGTTCGAACAAAACGTAAGTTTGTCGCGCTCAAACAAATCCAGCGATTTGTAAATAATACGCGATGCGTTCTTTTTTATGTAAACTATATACATATGTATTATCATTTGAATAATTATTATCTCTATATGTATTATAAACTATACGATTGTACTTAAACAGTATTGTGGCTATACGACGAACAAAACATTCCCCCATGACATTTCCACCTTTTTTTTTTTTAATTTTGTCTAAATTATTTTTTGTTGATAAACAATTTGTGTTGATTATTATTATTATTATTTTCGGTGTACATAAATTATGTCTGTATAACGTACGTTATATTATGATATTATATAATTATATTTATACATAATATTATAAGCTTTATTCGTGTGTACATCTCCTCCGAAATGCGAACAAAGATTATACGAACGATCATTATACTATTGTGTATTACTATTTGAACATATATATAATTATTCCTTTTAATTGTTATTTATATTTAATAAAAATTGATAAAATATATTTAAATAACGCCGTTGCGTATATAATACCTTGTATTTTATTGTTTCTTTCCAAGGATTCGATTTAAAATGTTAGTAATGTATATTTAATATTTATTTTATTCTGTACTCCGCGTAAATCATAATTATTGTATTATTGTTTTAAAATGTTATTTGGTAATATTACTCACAGACGAAACGTGAAATCTCATTGCAAAGAAGATGCATTTTATAAAATAATATTTATCCGTGCATTACTAACAATAATTGTTTCCATTATGCATTGTATAGTATTATTTCTTGCTAATTAATGTGACTTTATACGTTTCGCCGTCGACTTTTGCGTACCCAGCGATCCCGGTGGCAAATAATATGCATTTTCCATTAGACCGTCGTAGCGGAATAATTCGCAAAAAATACCAAAAACAGTTAAACGTATGGCCGACATTGACGTTATGACGAGTAATTTATTTATTTTTGTCGTCCACCGAAATTTGAAATCTGAACACGAGTGCAGAGGACGGGATACAAATCCGATATTTTTTTTTCGGTCGGTGCTCCACGTGTAGAACCCTTTTAATCTACACCACGCGTACAATATCAGAGTGCGTTTTATTGTCATCGCTCGGAGTATAATACACAGTGTCGTACGGACACATACACACAGTCGTTTAATTGAATTATTCAATTATCCGTGGTTATCAAAGTACTCTACAGACTCACAGTTATTTATCGCAACGATTCATCGTCGGTACTCCGTATACCTATATAATAAAGTAGCCTTGTTGCCGTCAACTACTATATTATTTGACGTCGTACAAATTTTTGTTGATTCACTTGGTTTTTTTTTTTTTTATATATAAACAGATATTTCATTGAACATGATATTAATATTGCCAATCGGCATTCGGAAAATCGAGCTTCTCCAACAAATACTGCAGGTAAATAATAACATGCAAATATCTTGACGTAAAACTCCGAAGTATATTAACTGTGAAAATTAATTAATATGAGTAAATATTAGATTATTTCAGTAATAAATTATAATAACTTACAACTCATGCTACACGATCGCCGGTGATTGGACGATATGGTAGTACAAAATTGATCATTGTTTATTAATAATTACGATATTTACAATGTTTACTATGTATTGCTCGTATAAATAAATAAAATTGTTTATTAAAACATTATTCAACCACATATATGGTCTTCTACCGCGTGTGATATAATGATATATTTCACAGTTCAGTTTATATCAAGTTGATTACTTGAGTCGATTTCAAAATTATTAAAATAAAAAGATATTGAATGGTTATCTTTATAAGGAGTAGATCCTAAATTAATGATTTGGCGTATTATCCGATATCTACTGAAAATTATGTGTTGAAGATCGAAGATGAGATCAAATAAATGAACAACGTAACATATATTTTAATTAATTATTACAAATACTACAGAGTACAGTACGTACGACATTTATTTATTATAATTTAAATTTACTATTTTCTATATTATTTGAAGAGAACATAAATTACTTGAAAAAAAAATGAATAAGTTATTTAGTGACATAATTTGAACCAAACAAGGGTTATTTAAGGTACTGCATTTTGTGCATTTAAAATTATATTATGAATGTAGCATTATTTTGACAGCGCGAGTTTGTAAATCCTAACCCGAACTCCCAAACAACTTATTGTAATATGTTTATGAGTAATTATAACCTAATTATTAGTATTGTTAAAGTTTGAGAACTTTTATTAATTAATAATACGAATTTGATATCTTAATTGAGAGTTGAATAAACGCTAACACATTGTTATTTTGTTATTATAATGTCTAATGTCAGCCGGTATATTATCATTAATTATAATGAATCATAAATCAATTAATAAGTTATTTAATAGTTAATGTAAATTTACACATTTATAGGTAGAAATATATTTTAGGTAGGTGACAAACTGGTATTACCAGTTCGGTAGTTTATATGATTTCAAGGTTCTTCTCAAATTGGCCTTGTCTAAAAAGTTGCGTGTAAAAACAAATAATCAAAAGCCATTACTTAAGTATGAGTAAAAATCATATGACATTAAGCGCATAAGTGTAGATAAAAAAAAAAAAAAAACAAGTAGTATAACTGTTTAAAATACCAATATGTATATTTAAATGTATAATAAATGCAGTTATAAAATAAAATTTATGTAAATATAAATTGAAACGACTACAATTCGTGATTTTCTTTTTAAATCTCGTGCAGATCATTAATGTATTTATTATGTATGGTCACTTAATTTTTTCCTTTGGTTAGTAATAATGTAAAAAATAAATAAAAAAAATAAAAAATGAAATTCTTTTCAATCATTTTATTTTATTTTACTTATAGTATTAACAATATTCTACAATCTTTTAATTTTATGAATGATACCTAGTGAACAAAAGTGTATTCCTGTGTAATATGAAAATTTGAAATTAATTTGATTGGATATATAAATACGAAAAAATGTATAAAAAATTGATTTTAACTTTGCGTAGAGAAAATAAGTTAAGTTAATAAAACCATAGCATACACTATTAAGCGTTTATTTATCTTTAATGTTTGGTTATTCAAATTTAAATAATAACTAATAAACGACTACAGTTTCTATATTATTTTACTTTTGAACTTTAAAATATAATAAATAATTCTTCTTTGAAGATAACTATGGTATAAAATTTTAACCATAGTAAATCTCGATACTGTGCCAAAGTATTGTCCAACATCATATTTCAAAAGTATCAATTAGGAAAAAAATAAATATCAACACAGACAATCGAGCTGTTACACTTTCTGTACCTATAATATATTATCATAACAAAATAAATAAAAGTATGATTTCATAAAAACCGTAATTGTTCAATCGGCACATCTCTTCTGGCTTATGTCATATCCACTTTAGATTGATCTATTTTTAAATATGTCATAATAAAGGAGTACATAAAACTAACAAGAAATGCAGAACTATGATATAGCAGTCAAAGCGGAGAAATATTTGAGTGGAATGTGCGATCAAACAAGTTGTGATCATAATAGCAACTTATACAGATATACATACATAGTCATGTATTTATAAATAATAATTAAAAGTTGGATTTTTATGATTTTATATATTTATTTCTATTTAAATGAACGGGAATGAGTTATATATTTACGATTCATAAAAAACAGTAGGTGAAAGAACCAATTTTATTCTGCATAAAAAAGCATGTTTCAGAAATTAGTATTGATGTATATTGATAATATTCAAAACGTTAGAGAATACTTCAGCATTAAAAACAATGTTTTTATTTTTGAAAATATTTTCCGAAAAAATAATTGGTAATTAAATTATTCTTTATTTGTCTATGTACCATTTATGCATTAGTTATTTTTTATTGTAAATAAAATAAAATAAATTTAAACGTCATAAATTTGAAATTTCTAAAGAATATTAAGATAATATTAATCCGATCTCTAATAGTAATATGTGTTATGTGTGCGTAGTTTATTCTGTGTGTCATTCTTTCGGAAAAAACGATTCCGACTACCCATTCGATAAAAACTGTTGAATAGATAATAATATATTATGAAATGTATTTAAATTAATTAAAATCACACTAATAACTCTTTAGTTCAAGACGTAGAGTGAATATTTTAAAATTGTTTCTTAACGTGATATTTAACAATATTAGGTATAGCTAATTTTTTTTAGTTTTTGCCGTGATATATTACTATAATATTATGCCATATTACATAATATTAAAAAAAATACACTAGATTATACTCTTACTATATTATAAACTAGGCCGCAAGGGTGACACTGACTTTTTAATAATTAATTAACACACTATTATAATATCATGCACATTCGCATTTATAAACACGCCGTAACTGCCAGAATATCAATAGGACCTACCTGACATTTTACGGTTGTCGCGACGGATACCTGGTAGCGAGCTCCTGAGGATTAAAGTATTAACCGTTTTAGACGTCTCGTCTCGGCATTACTACCAACATTTTATGGGATCTCGCAAAACTGGCTCCCGACTAATCCATATCATAATGTACGAGCTATAGCAGACACAAGGCGTGTAAACCGTGTAACATAATATTATTATTATATTATTATTACACTCGCATCATAGACCACCTGTTAATATTTCGAAGTGCGGTCGATTCGATAATCAATCAGCAGCTGTGTGTATGCGCTAGATGTAGGGGTATAATATAACATAATATAGTACCTTATTATACGTAAGTATTCTTGTATATGGTTCGGGTCGAGAACGATATTATTTCATTTTAGTTCAGGCGTATCGTGGATTTAGATGGATTGCACTTCAAAAGTATTATATTATTACACGCACATGTATAATGTGTATTATATATTTTATCGAACGTATAATGCGTGTTTGACGTTTTAAACGGCTGCTGTTATCGTTTTTTTTTTCTTCCCCGAAAACAGACAATGTGGAATTAATATTGTATTTATTTGAACGCGTAAAAAACAACGACGATGGGATGACGGTAGTGTTTGACAAGCCGATATCGTGCGTAATAGAATAACAATGATGGAGTGGTAATAATACGAGCAGTAAGCCCGTTTTTGTCAATACAATAATACAGCGGATGAGCCTAGGGCAATATGTTTTTATTTATGCACTATCCGACCGAATAGATAACTCTCTACGAAAGGCTTTGCCGCTTTGTAATTTGGTTAAATTTTTGATCATAATACACAAGTAGGTACGCTACCTGCATCGGTTCCATTGTTGACGTGGTT